ATATAAATATATGTATGTATATATATGTATATATATATATGTATATAGAAGATCGATCGATAGTATACACACATACTAATATGTGTGTAACTCCTAAGGAGGTGTTACACAGTCTTCCACATATCGCACCCTCAAGCATTGCACTCAATGCGCTCCCCCGCGGGCTTGGCGACCACTGTGCCCGCCGGCTGTGGTCCAGCTCGCTTCACCCTCCGCGTCAAAGTGTCAATGCATCTTGCTGGCGTTAGCAGCTCCTCCCGCCCAGCCCCCTTCGCCGTGCGAGACCTCAAACAGTATTTTAGGCCGGGTGCGTGTGGCAATTGAAAACAAAGCAAAGGCAGTTTACTTAGCTGCATTTGTGTAGGATTCTATTGCGGCCTCCAGGACCAGCACTTCTTCAAGGCGCTGTGCCATGGTGCGATGGTCGAGCGGGCCGCTTCGATGTGAAATGCATCTGTTTACATCCGAGTATGCTTAAACAGAGGCCCATCGTCTAAGATAGTCAAAGAGAAAGATAATCAAACTACGCTGCCAAGGATGTTAAAGAAAACAGACCATAGTCGAATGTTTCATACATAAATTCACGGACTCGATGTGCAGATGATGCTAGAACGGGCGAGATTACCTTGTTCAGAATGGCTGGAATCAACCAGTATCTACACAAGACAACAGTACTCAGCAGCTAGATTGAGTCTTGTGATTCTAAGCTTTTAGTTCTACAGCACAGCAAAATATGAAGGAATGTGCAATGCTACTGTGACCAGAAACCAGCTGACCGACCGGATGGAGTATTGTTCATCTCTGAAAGGCATGCAGTTCGCGTCATCCGGTGTCATGGTTCAGTTTGACACGCTGACAATGAAATTAAAGCTGGCTTTCAGTTTGAAACTGAAAGAATCACTGAGTTTGTTTCGGCTGTCGCTGTCGCGTGTGTTGTTCCTTGCATGACGGATATGTGGCTTCACATCTTCGCACCGTGAGGTGACCACCAAGGGGCACGATGCCTTCATCCCTGAAGAAAGTTGCTCGGAGGTGTGCATTCTGGAGTCAGGCCTGGCGGCCTGGATGGACTTGCACAAAGCAGACGTGTTTTCGTGAGTATTGTTGTTGGAGGCTTCATGTCCTACGAGCCCGCCGAAGCCTTTCAGTGCGAGCGGGTTCGGGAAGGCTGCGGAAGATACAAAGCGGAGTACTCTGATCCTCCGCTTTGCCCACTTGCTTTTTTGTTTGGGCTGTTGCCCGTTCCAGGCTTCGTGTTTTGCTTGCCGACGCTCTGGGCCGAGTGGCAATACCGGGGTCGGCTCCATGCCAGTTCCTGCGCCGCATTAAGAGCGAAGACGCTGAGCCGCGCGAGCGAAGAGCGGCTAGGCGCGCTCGGCCCGTGGTCCCGGCCGAGGTTTCGGCACCTGCTACCACATCGGCCTTGATGCCGCCAAGTTTTGCAGGCGGGCCAAGAAAATTTATTGGACATGTGTCGAGGCTGTTGTGCCATGCCGCACGAATAGAGCTCCTTTGCTTCAAAAGGCTCATTTGCACCTGCAGGCTTGCTGCCCAAGCGGGTGGCCCACTCTGGCAATTTCTGCAGATCTTCGGGTTCCTGTACATCAGCTGGAACCTTGCTGAATACAAGTGCCTTAGTTCAGTGGGAAACAAGGCAGCCAGAGGAAAACTTGGAAGTTTTCAATTCAAAACCCTGCAGAGTACCTCTTGGTTCCGCAGCCAGTGCAAACCATGGCCCAGTCCTTGGCCCAGTCCTTTTTTGGTGGAGGCCTCCGGATCTGGCATAAACAGCAACTCAGATACAGCAGCCCATGCCAGAACCTGCTCGCGAGTACACCTCGTAGCTAGGCTTGTGGTAAAGGATTAAAGGCAACCACAATGCCTGTGCGAACGGCAAAACCAACGTAGCTCGGTGAACAGAGGTTCGGTTCTTAGAAGCTTGGAGATTCCAAGCACGAAGGCTCCGGGTGGACATAGAAAGCAAAGACATCTTCTAAAAGCAGCTGTTTTGCAGTTCTCTTTCCGATGAGCCGGACGGTTCCCAGGATCGAAACTATGGACGAGCAGGGAGCCCTCATCACTGACAAATGCCCGGAGGCTCGCCTTGCTATGAGGCCAAAATCCGAAATCCGCTCCACGTCTGCGCAGGAGGAAAAGATCTCGGAGCTCGTCTCCCGTACGCAGCGCCACTCGACAGAACAGTCTCAGTAGCCCACGAAGAGAACTGAACTTGTTCGTGCATTCCAAGCCCAATTCTAGGGGCTGCGCCCACGCGCGGGCAGCGCAGGTAGAAGCCTGGAGCAAGGCCACGCGCACCCCTCCGGCGAACCCCGCTGATGCTGATGATGCGCGCCCTTTGCGGGCTTCCGCAACGTTCAAAAATTTGCAAAACATCGCCTCGCGCTTCAAGGCCGGTTGCCGGCACCTCGAGTGCTCATGATGCTCGCCGGCTGGCCCTCTGGGTCGTGCATGGGGCCCCGAAACCCGCCATACCGTGGGGAATGGCTGCGAAACGAGTACATGTTCCGAAAGCCCTCCGGGCGAGGTCCCGCGCGGCCCGGTGGAAAAACGAGGGTCCGATCGAGGATGCAGGGTCGGCGGCACTGGCGGTCGCGCCTTTTGCTAAAGCAAAGCTAGCAATGCTACTAGCAAGGCCATACCAGGCTAAGCCTGGAACCCAGCGCTGCCCGATTGTATTTTTCCTGGTCTCTGTGCTGGTGAGTGCAGTGCCGCCGAGGCTACAGCAACACTATCCACGAAAGGGGAGCACTCTTCTCCGGCTACTCTGCTCGTGGTCTGGAATCTTATCTTGAAAATAGCTTAAGCCCTAGCCGTCCCCAGGCCCCAGCCCATCAAACAAGCACAGCCCGGAGAGTGTTTGTTCTTAACTACAATGGCTGAGACGACAATGTGGTGACATCACCTTTCCATAGCCCTCGCAGGCCTCGCATACAATCTCCCGCAAGCGTCGGAAGCCCTGCCATATTTGACGATGTCTGAGGCGTCGCCCTCGATCCCGCATGCCCTGCTGCAGAAGGCTCATGACGCCAGACGTCAAGCTGAGAAGGACTATCAGATCGAGTCGACCGAGGACACCATCGGTTTGTAGGGAGGCCATGGCTTTCTGTCAAGCCTCCTTGACAAGTAGCTGGAAATTTTTATCTGCGATGGTTCGGCTGAGATGTCGGACATGTTTTCCGCGAGCCCGCAAAGTGGGTCTCGATGATATCCATCAGGACTGTTCAGTTAGTTCAACGGGGCAAACTCGGACAAGCGCCAGCAACTATACTACCAGGAGCATGTTTGGAACAGGCTGCTCCTCAAACTGGCAAGGTGGCTCACCACAGCGTCATTGCTGGCATTCCTGTTGGGGGAGTCCTACGGTGTGCTCCCTTCACCTGACATAAGTGTGCATGCAGATTCAGATGCTGTGAACACGGGGCTTCGGTTTGGGTGTGTTTATCCGGCTCAGAGTTGTCCTTGTTGCCAGCAACTCACAGAGTCCATGATGGCGATGCTAAAGTCAATGAGCTTCCAGCCACGGAAACTAGGTGTACTTTCAGTCAGGGGCCGGGTGCAGTCATCGTAGAGAGGTGCTGTTGCAGAGAGGTGCTAGTGCAAGCGTGAAAGGGTGTAGGTTTGGCGTTTCTTGTTTCAAGACCCGACCCTGAACCCTGGATGCAGTTTCATGTTGGACTACTGGGCTTTATCTGCTCTGTAGGAAAGCTTGGTAGTTATCTTGAGGATGTTTGGGATGTTGTTATGTTATTGTTCTTTCAGTCTCGTTCGTACAATCTCAGCCTTTAAGGCGTTCTAACTTGATAGGCAGGCGGAAAGGAGGTCACAAAAAATACAAAGGACGCAGTTTCATGCAGTGCAGGGCTGTGCAATCTGCCATAGGCACCTTGTCCGCGCCCTCCGTCCTGTCATAGCCGCAGCCTGGCTGCTGAGTGTGGGGCACACTCCCCTTCGGTACCTTCCATACGGAGCCAAAAGGAGCCACGAAAACCCGCCAAGGGGTCTATGCCCTCTTTTGCGGTTGACCACCCTTCAAGCCTGGAGCAGGTGGTATTAATGCCTTTGAGGAGGGCTCACCAGTGCCATCTCTCATTTCGCTGAGTTGTGTCCTTCGGGGGCAGATTACAAGTTGCGATTATCCGATGCACAAGAATTTAGGTTGTTGCTGCATGGTGTGTCTTCGATGGATGCAGTGCTGCAGCCCAAGAGCCTGTCCCGTGCGAGGAGAAAGAGTTCATGCAGGGTTCGCATCGAGATGGAATTCGGTTTCGTTTAGCAGGGTGCAGAACTTGGCCAAGCCCTCTCCGAGTCTTCCTTACCTCGCACGGCTGCCAGACTGATGGGACGACGGAGCAAGGACCGCCTCTCCAGAAGCGCCAGCTCAAGTCTCAGAGGGTTCAGGCCCAGGGCGACTGAAGCTCGGCGTTGGGAGAGGGGCCAGTGCCGAGGTCGCGGCACCTCTTCCAGAACTCCGATGGTTCGCTCAACATGCAGACGCTTTTCCTTGAAAGTAGTCGTGGCATCTTGCAAGCATCCAAGCTGGGGCCGGCTAGGGGCCTCTTGACTCTGCCCAAGGATGAGTCGCACTGCAAGTTTGATGCTGGTGGACATGGACGAGTTCTGTGCGGAAGCGGCAACTCAACAAAAGGAAGCGTCACATTTTCCGCTGAGTTTGTAAGTTCGGAAGCTGAGGAAGCGGAGGAGTCACATCTCGTGGAATTGGAACGGGAACGACTCAACATGCAGCAGCGGTGCGCGGGCAGCAAGACTTTCCCCGGCTCGCACGGTAGAGCCGCCACGTCTTGAGAAGCCGAGAAAAGACGCTCAGGCGTGTCGCCAGCGCCGCCCTCCTTGAGGACGGTGCTTGGGATGCGGGACCAGCTAATTTCAGCGAGAGCAGCGACTCTGACCTAGCTTCTTGTCGCGTGGCACACAAGGAGATGGCAAAGATCACAGAGTACGCAGATCCGTCCCACACGGTGATGTTGCAAGGCTATGGCTATGAGCGGAAGCTTGACTGTGGCTGAAACCAAAATTTAGGCGAAGGTTTGCAGCAGTGGCATTAATCGTCAGGCTTTTGGCTCTTGTGACTGTCTAGCTCCCTCTCTCGCTCTCTCTCTATTTGGAGTTCCCATGTGCCGGAGGCTTCAACTGGGAGAGCCACAAGGCTGGCAAAGGAAACTGGTACGGCATCGTGGAGTCCAAGGCCAGGCAGGGGCGCAGTGTCTTTTCAGCACGTCTAAGTCTAGGCCTAGGCTGGATGCTGAGCGCTGACCGCAGGTGGACATGCTCGCCGACGTGGGCATCACGGAGCTTTGATATGGAAGTTCGAGTAATGGTTCATGCTTAGATAAAGTTTACCTAAGCCTAGCTGTGCAGTTCTGCTGCTCCGATCGTCAAGCGTTGCACACCGCTCCAGCCTCGCAAACAAGACTGTGACAGGCTGGCGTCATGCCCGGTGGTGCAAGAAATTGGTCGTTTGGAACAAGTTGGTGTCGAAGGCTTCTGATGTTTAAATGGGGGTACGGGGTCTGACTGGAGGCATAATACTCAAAAGCGGCTCAAGATTTCGTCCACCCACCCGGCCGGTTTGGGTTCAGGGCAGTGGACCTTATAAAGTGGGAAAGGGATCGGTCTTTGATCCAGTGACTCAACGAAGATCCGAACAGCTGCAAGAGCGATGCAAGGATATTTGGCTGCCTCCTCCCTCGCAGTCTGTGGCACCCCAGGCCCCACAGTGAGGATGAAGAGATACGGTACGGTTTGGACAAAGTTTGCCCGAATTCTGCGGCACAGTTCGGAGCCGCATGGACGTGTTGGCAAATGCAGGGAGTGAAGAAGTGTGCTCAGAATACGAGCTTCGAATTTCGAGATTTGCTGTAAGGCTGTCTAGGCCGTTTTGGCCCTGGTGGCTAAGGCACTCAGTGTTCAGAAATTGAATATGCAATTTGCATACTTTGAGATGTGGAGCTCCAGTCAACACAAAGAGGACACATCAATATCTAAGAAGCAGGAAGGTGTTCTTCCAGCTAGGAGGGTTTACAAGGGGGGATGCGGCATGGAAAGCGAGATGTGCAGTGAATTCAACCTGCTACCATGCCAACTCCTGGCTTCGAACCCTGAACCTCAACCTCGTTGAGTTTGCGCTGTGAATCCCTGCAAGAATAGAACCTGCGTTGGCCTGAGACGGAAAGACTGCATGGATGTTTTCGCTCTCACAGGGCTACCTGCCATCGCAGTTGTTCAACCTCGATGCATCTGCCTATGGGAAGAAGGTTCGGCCTGCTTTGCCACCGTGTAGTTGAGCATTCCATTGGCAGGGACACATGGACTGTGAGAGTTGATGGTGGTTTGATGGACGAAGGGTTTGTCAGAAAATCACTTCTGAGTAGTTAGGAATACCAAGCCGGCGATCCAAGACTTTCTGGAGACATGTCAATTTGGCCTTTGCTCCTGGTGCACTATATATAGTTCGGTTGAGAAACAATGACATCATCAGAGCTTTCGCTAGAGTTGCGCTGCCGCAACACGAATGCTTCCTGTCCTGGAAGCTCTCAATCTAGTCAATCGTTCGTCACTGCAAGCATGCGCTACGGATATCGGGGTACGCCGAGATAAGCAGGTTCAAGAAAGGCCCCAGCTTGTGTGCAGCGGCAATTTGAAACATGAAAGACATGCAGACGATCTTCCTACGACCATGTAAATGAAATGAAATGCAAGACAAATACTACAGAGAGAGGTTAATTCTAGCTAAACAAATGCAAGCCCAGTATATGACCGCCGTCGCCGTCACCATCCCCGCCACCACCACCGCCGCCCACCACCGCCACCGCCACCGCCGCCGCCGCCACTGCCACCGTCATGGCCATCATCGCTATCAATGCGAACCACCACCGCCACCACCACCACTACTACCACCGCCACGGCCACCACAACCACCGCCGCCCCTTCTTCCACAGTGGTACAGGTACGGGTCTTCCGCAGACAAAGAACAACGCCAGGGATCTCAGGCAAAAAGAAGGCATCACGAGCATCACGTGGGCCTGGTTTTGCTGCCTCGAACGCCTTTCTAAAATCGCCAAAATCGCGTGGCTCGGCGCACGGTCGGTGCAGCGTCGGGAAGCGGAAACCCGCCGAGGAGAGCCGATGATGCTCATTGACTCATGATGCATTCGTTTTGAGGGTGGCAGGCGTGGCGGGGGGTGCGGTGGGATTTTTTTTGCGGGGTGCCGCTTCTATTCACTACTTCAGCGAAACCTGACTTTTATTGCCGGGAGGGGGAGCGGAAAGGCACAGGACTGAGAGAGCGTTAACCATCACAAGCAACTCGTTGGACGACTAGTGTGCGAAGCCGAGGCAACCGGGCACAACGCGTAGTCGCTGATAGTCAGAAGTTCCAGCTTGTCGCTGATCCCGAGAAAAAAACGGTTACCCTTCAGATCTTCAGTCTCTGTCAACTGATCACGAAAGACGCGATGCCTTAAGGGCTGAACAGCTGCGTTTGCAGAATAGCCGCCGGCACAAGTGTTCGGCAAGGGGCGACTATGTGTGCCGAAGAAATACTATCCAGACTCACCAATACCCATCAAGCCGTGTTCCGAGAGAATGAGGAATCGGTGTCAGAATGCAAATCTTGGAAGATTGTACAGAGCTGCGCAGGCTGCGCTGAAGTCACTTCTCAAATCGCTGCATGCGAAGGCTCCGCAAGCGGGCCGGGCGGGACCTAGGTACAATGGTAAAGGCCACCTGGCTAGGAGTGCTACCAGAAATGGCATGTTGCCAACATTGTTTAAATCGGACACGATGTTTGCAGTGTTTTCTGGCTCCTGCATGGCATCCGAAGAACGACTTGTATCGCGGCTTGTGCATTCTTGTGTGTAGAAAAAGCGCATCTGTACACTGGAGCTTGTAAGCTCGCAGCACGGATAGAATCTCATAGTGTGACTTGCTGCGAGCAAATACTAGGTTTCACAAGCGCTTCTAGTGTTTCTACTGTGGTGCGAAACCAGTGTGGATGCATCTTGTTTTTGGTGCAGTAGGAATTGTCGGGAAGGGCGTGCATCTGGCAAGACTTTGAGGGCATGCGCGGCGTGGCAGACATCGTCATCAACCATCGCTGCGGGGACAAGCAGGACAGAACAGGTCAGTGCGGTCTTTCTGACGTCCCGAGAGCCGAAACGCATGTGACAGGACGAGCAGGGACGATGGAATGTGTTCACCAGCACCGGCATCGAGTCCCGGAAGAGCTTTCACGGCATCATGGATTGGCAAGGTGGCATGTGTTAGTTGAAATGGGTCAGCACACTTGACGAGTTGGTGTGACTATGTGCCTTGCCTTTCGTCATCGCTTTGGAGTATGGAGCAACTGTTGCACAGGCTGGGCCATAACCCTTGGCGACCAGTTTTCGGATGGAACCGGGGAGCGAGGATTGGCCTCCTGAAGATGTTTGAAGTCCGCTGCAGAACGTAGCAGTCAACTCAAACAAAGACAAACCGTATCTGCTGCTTACAGAGCAGGACCCGGTCACTTGGACGGGAAGTTCGACGCCGCCCCCGACATCGACCACGGCAACAAGAAGGTGCTTCTGTAGATAAGAGCACGCATCTCCGGCCAGCGCGGCCCGACCTTCCGCATGCCACCGCACGCCTGCAAAAGTCCACAGGTGCAAAGCAGCATCGCTATTTGGCTGCGCTGGCTCCGTCTGGACATCGGCTTCGATGCCTGGCGCTTCGACTTTGTCAAGGGCTACTTAGTCGCACTGCAGAAGCTCCCTGCAGCACTTGAAAGCAGCTGTCGTGGCACTGCATGGGGAAAGACCAGGCTATGGTGCCGAGTATGTCGGCCACTACTGCCGCAAAGTTGCAGATGAGTGGTTTGTTGACCCGCTGCGAATCAGTGCCACGTGGGAACGACAACACATTGCAGAGTTGCCTGGGCGGGGCTGCGAGGCAAGAAGAGTGAGCCATCCTGGGCTGTCGGAGAGCTGTGGTTGGACATGGAGTGGCTTGCAAGAATGGAAGCCTTTTGGCGTGGTATCTCTTTCGTCAGCCCGAGCCTTGCCATTTCAGGTACGATCACGACGGTTTGAAGTACAACCAGGATAAGCACAGGCAGATGCCCAAAAGCAGGGCTCTCGACTGCAGCGTGCAGCCTGGGTTTCGTGAGGCAGGATACTGTGAACTGGATCAATGGCACGGACAAAGAGCACCTTGGCAAAGCTCCTGAGATTCTTGCTGATTGCTTTATTCTTGGCTTTGCTGCTCGCCAAGTGCTCCTGAGGAGCACCGCCTTCGATTTCACCACCAAAGGTATCCTCCAGGCCCACGGTGGAAGGAGATTGGACGTACGCGGCTGTGAATGGAGCAGGAAGCGGTTCGCAACACGCAGTACTGGCGGCTCAAGGACTCAAACGGCAAGCCTCCAGGCAGGCGGAGATAAACCTATTGTTTGATCGCCGAGCTACAGATTGTTCGTGGCGTCATGCAGCATGTAGCGACATGCAGGTCTGTTCATCTTGCTCTGTGTGCCTCGAGCTTTGAGTAACTTTTAAGCCCATGCTGCCGGCAGCAACCTCCATGCAAACAGAACGGTGCTGCACGTCATAAGGACCGGTTTAACAAGACATCAATGCATGAGCTCACTTGCATGCGCAAATACTCCAAAGGCAAGCCAGGCAGATCCTTGCAGCTCGAAGCTTAATGGCAGGCCTCTTGGGCTGGATGCCGACACACGCCGTGACCTTCCTCGACAACCACGACACAGGGAGTACCCAGGGTCACTGGCAGAAGCCTCGGCGCGTTCACTCTGCCAAAAAAGAGTTTCCAAGCAGCGGCAGCAAATGGCAGCAAGAAGCCCAGGCCTTTTCCGAACGACAAGGTGCTGGTGGGCTATGCCTACATCCTCACCCACCCAGGCACAGCCATGCAAAGCCTCGCGGGGTCGACCTCAAGTTTGAACTGTGCACTCGTCGAGGTATCCCTTGCATCTTTTGGGACCACATCTGCGACTGGGGCGAGGCCTCCGGCTCGCTGCTGCCGACTCATCCGCTCTTGGATTCGGGGGCCTCGAGCCTCCGTACATGCGCCCTGCCAGGACATGCGAAATCGCATCAAGGCGCTGCTGCAGCTGCGCCGGAGGGCTGGGATCAAGGCCATTGTCTGTTTGAGTGCGAGACCACGTTCAGCTCTCAAATCCGTGCAGGTGGACGACAAAGTTCAAATCTTGTGTGCAGATCACGACCTGTACATTGCAGAGTGGCCAGGCTTAGTCTTTCTGTAGGCGTCTTGAAATTGGGCCCCGGTGGCGACAGGCCCTGCTGAGCTGCTTCCGAGGATCGGCTCTCCCCCTGCACTGCGTGTTGCTCTGGGCCCGAAGCACTCCGGCGTCGACGGCTCCTGGTCTCCGGGCACCGAGGGCGCAGACGCTCGGAGAAACACGCCGAGAGCATCTTGCAGCCTGTGGAAAGTTGAACAGCTGCGAGTGCTCCTCTGAGGACTATCGCGTCTGGATTAGAGCCTCGGCTGCCGCGTAAAGATTGGAGGTTACAAAAAATTGTAGGCAAGAAAAAGCCTTCGTGTCTCCTTCCTGGGTCTTTGGGCAACGTTCTCCTGTTGCTGCTTTGTGATGATGTTTCTCCTGTTGCTGCTTTGTGATGATTTGGTGGACATGACCAGAGCCGGCACCGGGACAAGTTGCTTGATGGGGTTTTGCCCATGGGGTGACCGTGCCAAGGGTGTTGCCATTGGCATAATGGCGGCACGTTCTCCAAGCGGTGATATTCCCATGGTCCGCGGTCAACCTAATGACGGTGCTTCCTCACAGCCGCGGTGCCCCTATGGTTTGCGACCACTGTGGTATGTTTGGTGGCCCCACTGCTCGCTGTCACTGTTTTGTGCGGTAGCAGTGTCTCACCATTGCGCAACAGCTCGAAGTCGTCTGTGGCACTGTGCCAATGTGGTGGTATTTAGGTGCCGTCGTGTGCAACCGGCTGACCCTGCTGGTTTTTGTTCCTTAGTGTTGCCGTGGATGTGCGGGCATCTGGTACCATTCGTTAAGCATCCGAGCTGCGTCGGACCTCAACTGAGTTTCTTGTGTTGGGACGAATGCCGAGGTCCAGGCAAGTGATCTTCGTTCCCAACAAGCGTTTGATCACGCACTCGTTTTTTCGGGGAATGAAGAAATTCGTGCAGAGCCGGCCATGAAGCAAGTGGCAAGTGTGTCTGTCTCTGTCTGTCTGTCTGTCTGTCTGTCTGTCTGTCTGTCTGTCTGTCTGCGTGCCTGCCTGGCTGCTAGGCTGCTAGGCACACATCAGTCGAGCTTCAAGCTCCAGTCATCGATTTTATTCCGTGGTCTCCCGCTCTCCGCGGCGGCTTAGCCGCATCCGGCAAGGGGCGACTTTTCCGCCAAAGCCCCTTTTGCCAGAGAAGGATCCTCAAAGACCGGCCTTCCCGAAGCATCCTTTAGCGGACTTACGCTGTTTGTTGAGCCTGGAAGTCATGGTAGTAGGCACCCTTGTTGCCAGACGAGCGATTAACAGTCCAGCAGAGGTCGTTGGAGCATCAGAGCCCCTTTAGATCCCTTTAGAGCACCCCTATGGCACCCAGAACTATCCTCGAGCTCGCGGCCACTTCACAGCCGCAAGGATCCAACAGGTATAAATGCCGGCATGGCTTGCATAGCAGCCATCACTGCTCAACAGCTTGGCGTGCCTGTCACCAAAAGGGGATGCTTCCTCAGAGAGTGGTGACCTAGTGTCCTGCCTACCAGCAGCGTGTGCCTGTGACACGAAAGTGAAGGATTTACCCAGAGGGCAGACACCCAAGCTGCCATCCCAAACCGCCCCCATCGCAGTTCGATGCTTCAGTGTGCCTGGAAGACTGCCAAGGTTTCGCGCCGGCCTTGGCGAAGAGAAGAGCACCATTCGTACGAGCGGAGAGCCGAGCGGAGAGCCGAGAAGGTGGCGGGCCTCGGCCTTCCTACCGAGATCGGCGAAGCGCTCTACGCCGAGCAGGGGCCTCAGCTCAGGCGTTGGGGGCGGTAAGTTCTGGGCGCATCGCGACGGCCTTAGGTTGGAGGCTGAGGGCAGCCTCCAGTCCTCGGAGGCCCGGATCCCGGACTCGGCTCTGTCAGCTCGGCCACATGCCTTGACGCTAGGAAATTCGGATTCCTCCCGCAGACATGGAGTGGCTCGTTTGGGCCTCGTTTCATGTCTGGCCTCTGCTGGAGTCGGAGTCAGTCACAGCTAGGTCGGCCATTTCGGTCCCCAGATCGACATCCGTTTCCTGCTCTATCGGCCACAGCTGGTGCCAGCACTGAGGCGGACACCCTCAAGCGTTCCAGCGATTAAAGATACCGCTTTCTGCAGGCGGTGCGTCGACTTCGGGCTGGAGTTGCCCAAGTCAGGTGCAGTGGATTGCAACAGTGTTAGTGCAAGCGGCTTGCGTTTTGAAGAGTCAAGAGAGTCTGCAGTGCCAAGGACTCCAAGCAGATGCAGAGCTTTCGGAGGCACCCGATCGGGCTTCCACGCCCCGTGCATGCACGCAGTCAAAACAACGCCCTTCTGAGCCCTTCTGCTCCTACGGCTGCGGCTCCCGAGCCCGAGCCAAGGCCAAGCTGCCGCCCGGTCTCACGTGTAGGCCTTGGCTCCCGCGCGAGCACACGGCCCCCGAGCTCTGCGTAGGGTGCTCAGAAGGGAACAGCTCAAGCCCTGAATGACTTCCGTCACGCCCATGGCAGCATGTGCCTGTTCCCGCTACCGCTACCGTAAAGATGCGATTGCTGCAGTCCGTGCAGCATAGACAAGAACATGATAATTCCCTTTCATGGGCAGACCATCGGGATGGCTTGGGCAAGCATGTGCAAACCTGTCGTATGTGACCTTCGACAACACCTAGACAGCCCTATCCACGAATTCTCACAGCTCTGTGTGAATTAACAAGGACATAACAGGACTCCAGAGTTCTCCTATCGCACTTAAGCCGAAGCCGAGAAGCCGAGAGCGATCGCCAGGCAGAGCCCGTCGCCTCTGCCGCGGCCGGACTGGCACACTGATGGCGCTTCCGAGGCCGAGGCGCGAGGGGGCCGCGAGCAGCCGCTTTGTGCTGGACTCGAGCTCATGTGCCGTGTTTGCGGTGTTTGCGGTGTTGAGGACTTTGGTGACGCTGAGAAGGATACTCGCCAGGAGTGGGGTCAGGCCCTTGGGCGCTGTGGAGGACACTGCAGTCCGAGAGTCCGGTGGCCCCGTGGCACAGCAAGGCTTCGAGCGCGGGCACGGGCCGTTTCCAGGGCCAGCCCGGCGAAGGCCAGCGTCACAGTGGGGTCCGGAGACCCAGAGCCTCCAGGTCGCAGTTCTTGTGGGCACCAGGATGCTTCGTGCTTCTCCCCGATTCGGCAGCATCTTCGGCAACCCTCGAGCCGGCATTTCGTAACCCAAATCCACTTTCTGCTTTGGCCAAGCCTCAGCCATCTTCGGCTCGAGAGAACCAAGGGTCCAGGGACCCGTTAACGTAGCAAGGACTGCACCCGTCTGGCTTTGCGATCTTGATTCAGAACTGTGAGGTTTCGAGACAGGACGCGACGTACGGATGCTTGCATCCGAGTCTCCAGCCTTTCAGACCCTTTGAGTTTGAATTGTCGTGACAAGCCTGAGTGCAGGACTTCTGTCTGTGCAGCCCGGCGGCATGTTTGGCCCATGAAAACTCGGGGCACAGCAAGTCTAGTGCCAATAGGAAGGCTACGGAAGAGCCGCGGCTAAAGCACGTTGGATTCAGCAGCTCTACAAGTGGCTGGCAAAGCATGTAGTTTAGGCTTAGCCCAGGTCTGTCAGGAAGACCCGTCTGATCCCAGGCATCTCTTCCTTTGCAGACCATGTCCTTCCAGCTCTTGGGTTTGCTCCTTCGAACGACTTCAGCTCGTCAGTTTTTTGGGTGCTGCCGGCCTTGCCCAAACGGGGAACCGTCAGGGCTCGAAAGCTCAGGTTTGTGGCATTCGCCACCTCAGAAGCGGCAAAGATGGTTCCCATTCCGAACCAACAGGAGACTCTTGGGGCTGTGCTAAGAACGGCCGAGCCAGAAGCCGCTGAACAATGCAAACGTCCGTGTGCTGGCAGCGACTGCGCATCAATTCGTGCCCGCGCGTGCCCTGCGATTCGCTCATTGCAGGACAGCATCGTGAATCTGCTTGCTAATGTGCCGAAGCCAAGCGAGTCCAAGGCGTGGGGTTCGGTGACGCTCCGGAATGATTCTTACTGGCACACTCTATTGAAAGGTCTCTACTGTCCAGGCGAACAGGGCCCGAAGCTTCCGGCACCCCCTAAAGATGCCACAGGCCAAGGCTACCGAGATGGAGACTATGGCCGCTCGATAGTCTCTGATTGTGCCTCTTACGCTTCCTCGCTTCGTCATGTGGTGTCTTGAAGTGTAAGTGGAGGAATTGACGTCTTCAGGCTCTCATGTAGGTTGCAAGCGCTTCATGTATGGACCCTGGTTCTGGATGTTCTGGTCACAGGAGGTCTCTGTTTAACGGTCGGATTGACGAAGACCCGATGTTCCAAGCAAAAAATCAGATATGCACGTGTCGGATCGCTGCGGCCTAGAGCCTGTCAATGCATACGCTACACGGCTAGCGGCTAGCTGTTTCTACGCAACAGCAGCAGCAGCAGCAACAACAAGAACAACAACAACTTTAAGAGGCCATGCCGCGGAATGTGAATGCAAGTCTCCGAGGTCATGCTGCTCGCACAGCAGGCAAAGCTTGCCCGAAAGCAGTCCCAGGCCAGCGGCCAGAGGTTGTTCGCCTTCGATTTACCAGCGCTGGAGACTGTATTGTGATGTATTGTGATTGTGGCTTTCCTTGCTGTGAGCCTGTAAGAAGCCAAAACAAGCCTCTGCATCGTCTCCCCTTCTTAGTTGTGGTCCTGGGCTTGAGTGCGTTGGCATTGCATGATATTGAGCAGCTGAGGCAAACCTATAGAAACTGCTCGTACTTAAAGGACCGCCGTTAGGGGAAATGTGATGATTTGCGCCAGGGCGCTGACGGCAACGTGACGGAGTTGGTCACGCAGATCAAAGGGGACAGAACATGCAGAGGGGCTCCAAGGTTGCTTACAGGGGCATGCGATATGGCTATTTGCGGTCCTTGATGAGGGCTCGCTGGAAGGTTCAGGTGACTGGCACAGGTCTTCTCAATTGGAAGCTTAAGTCGGCCGTGTTGGGAATGGGCTGCGGGCTCTGGCGCTGAAAGCTCAGGGGCTACATAGTTATCTTAGTTGATGCAGCCGATGCAGCGTTGTGTACTGCCAAGGAGTTGAGGAAGAACTTCTGCCGTGGAAGTCCGCCCCGGAGCATAAACACTTGTGCAGGAGCTGAAGAAGATGGAGGAGGAGGTTCTCAATGCTGCGGGCGTGGCCGATGGTGCCTGCCAAGAGGACCCTTGCACAGTGCTCTTGAATTTCATGGATTTGGACGGGATCAAGAAAAGGCAGTTCAGGGAAAGGCAGCGTCAAGACACACGATCACACCCCAGGGTTCAACCTTCTTGATGCGTCGTAACCTTATCAGACTCCGTATCATAGCAATCACACGTTCACGAAAGCTTCTCAGAGCAAGCAGGGCGGAACTCCAAGCCGTTGAAATGGAGTCCTGAAGCCCGGCCAGTCCTTTGCAAACCTCTCCGTGGGTTGCCCGCTGTACTCTGGCAACACAACCTTCCTTCCAGAAGGTGCCACGCCTGAGCTCGTTTTCCGGAAATTTTTACTGTTTTATCTGGTAACTGGTGACGTTTTTTAGACCAAGAATCGATATCCAAGGCTTCACTGGCGACTTTACCCCGCTTCGTGCGACACACACTGCTTGCCGCACGGGGATCGTTGGCAAGAAGCAGGCAAGAAGGGGGACGCCGTCGGAGGGTCTCAGCGACGCTGCCATTGTGGGAAGAGCACTCGTCATTGGGTGCCGAGCTGTGTGCTCCATGCATGAGGGACGTTTGCAAACGACTCGGAGGGATGCTAGGGGACATGGCGTGACGCGTCGCTTTCGCAATCCGCGCAGGCTCTGCCTTAAACCGGTTGGGCCGGAGTTTCACTCTGCGAGGAGCTGGATGCCTGCAAGTCAAGTCGCGAGAGCCTCATCTCTCTGTAGCAGACGCTGACGACTGAGTTCTCAGGCAGATCTCTCAAGGGATGACCGGGAGATGTGGGGAGTGAGTTTGGTAAGCCGCCGCCCTGGACAGGCATTAACATCTTTGAGAGCCCAGAGGACCGCCAAGCGCTTGTGAGATCCTCCGTCCCCGAGCCTCGAATCTTTTTGACATGAAGGAGTGCGCAGTGAAGGGAGACGACGTGCTGCTTTACCTGGGCTCCATGCACCCTGGCAGTGAGCAGAGGCTTCCAGTTCAGTGTAAATTTCGAGAGGGCTGGCAACATGCGGAGTAATGTGCGGAAGTTCTGCACCATGGCTTGTAGTGGAGGGGCGACCTCTTTGACAACATTAGCGAGCCCAATGCTGCCTAGCAGCTCTCGCCTGACCGAGGCGTGACCACTTCAAGAACAAGCAGGCCAGTCACCTTGGCCACCGTAGAGACAGTTCCAGTCAGTTCCAGTACTCTAGCTGCTCCAATGGTCGCTTCAACCTGAAGCCCCCTCGCGAGTTGGCATGGTGGAAAACCTATTACAAGCTGGAGAACGTGACGCAGAACATCACCCAGTGGAACTGCACAGACAAGGCTGGGACAGCTAAGTGGACACCTGTGCAGCTTGCTAGTTTTGCTTGCTGGGTCCTGAGCTCCGCCGCAGGAAATCGAGTATTTCGAGAAAATCTCGGCTTGTAACTTGGTATGCATTGTCGAACTGAAGCCGTGTGTCGTGAAAAAGCCTGATGCTAGCACTTAGCATGCAATGTCTCCTGTGTGTCTCCTCTCATCTCTTCACGTTCTTTGCCGATGCGACTCGAGCAATTCAACATGACAATTCAGGCAGAGGAAGGCTTCTTGAACACATCCGCCCAAAGAGACGGGCTCGCACCATCTCAGACTCTCGCATCACAGCCTCAGACTCAAAAACTCTATCAACCAGAGACAACTAGAGCAAGCAGCTGCGCCTAGATTTGTGCTAATCTGCTACTTGTATCGCGAGAGGCGAGAGGGTATCAGATTTCAAGGCCAGGCCGCGCAGCTGGAGCTTGAGGAGACCGCCTGCCAGGTGCATGAGAGGACCTTTTCCGTTTTCGTTAGGCTTGGAAGACTTTCGTCTCGGCTGTGTTTGGAAGTGTCAGCGGAAGGGTTTGGTTTGGCTTCCGCAACTGCCCTACTCGTTAGAACCGTTAGGTCTCCTACAATGTCCACACCGACTTATCGTTCGGCCGAGCCTCCCCAACAAGCTTTCGAGCTCACTGCTCAGGACCAACGAGTCCTGTGCGTCTCTCCCTGCGTGCTATGATGCGAAGTGGTCCAACTACGTTGCTTGGCCTCCGGCAAACTCCAATTGTAGAGGAAGAATCCTCTTTGGCGGGCTAGGCGTTGAGGGTGAGGATGACGTTCGGTGTACGAATGTTGATGAAGATCCCCCCGCGAACAACTGTCTCTGCCCAGTTGATCGAAGTGACGGCCTCCAACAAGACCATCCAGGATCTCGCATTGTCCGCTTCGGGCTGACTGACAGGTCTCTGTGACAACACTTTGAGATTCTTTCCCATGTAAGCTCGTTTGGCTTCTGTGGGCAGCTCAACTTCACATTGACTAATCGTGCTTCTAAGTTCCTGATGTTTGGACGTGACATTGATGAACTCGCGAGCAGGGCTCGTGTGTTGGAAAGCTGGGGTGTGACGAGACGAATCTGAAGCCAGGACCTCAAGTACGAGTACCGTGCCATCAAGCGAATCGGGTGCCTGCTGGACACCGGGCTGAACGGGGTACTTGTACGGTTTTGTAGAGCTCGAAAGTAATGGCTGGCATCAGGTGTGTCTTGTTTGGTGTGGGTCATTGTTGACTGTCAAAATTCTGTGCTCTGCTTTTTTGAAACTCATAGATAGTGCTGCAAGCACTTAGCCCCAGATCTATCTTCCGTGGTGAACCACGGCTTGTTCCGAGGAAGCCTTCTCAGCGGCCGATATGGATGCAGCCATCGATGCGTGCATCGCAGAGAGGTCTATCGGGATGCCGAGAGTTGCGAAGAGGGCTGAATTAGGAGGAGCAGGATATGTTGGAGGCTTGTCAGCAATTGAGGGGAGCGCATGCCAGTCTGCCATTCTGAGTAATCTAGTGGATGCCCAGAGACATCGTCGCCCAGCGAAATCCAATGATTCGTCTGCTCTTTAGCCAGGCATTCCGCTGCCGCAGTCAGGACCGGCTGGAGTTAGGATGTTCACTTCGAGCACAGCCTTGCACGTCTCAAGAATGGCCATGCTGAAAAGCGAAAACAGTGTTTACCCGGAGTATTAAGGCCTCTTATTGCCTGCAAGGAGCCAATGCGTGGACAGCCACGCAGGCATCGAGAAGCCAAGCTCTTCGGGTGCAAAGTGTTGGCTGCGTGAAGCGGCCCTGATGCGGGCCGGAGTCGGTTCACACGCTATTTGTTCAATGGCGGCAAGCTAAGGTTTCGTGACGCCAGAAGTCTGCGCATCAGGTCTGGGCTGGTAGCTCCCACGGTCCTGCAGCCGGTCGTCACGCCTGCCTACCAAGAAGCACTCTATACTGCCTGCTGAACAGGACTCCAATCCATCCTGCATCCTTCAGACCCCAACTTCAACGAGACTGAGTATGCTGCCCAGGGAATCGAGGAGGGGGTGGGTATGGTGTACATTCCAGCAGCAGATTTCGTTGAACCAGTGTGCCGGCATTGCTTTCTTTGCGGGTCCTGCAAAGAGAGGCGAACAAGTGCCTTGCCTCGTGCTGTACCATTGACTGGTACAGCTGGAGCACCTTCAACAATGCCTTCGTGAAACTTGGCTTCTATCGAGCCCTGCGGCCGGCGGCTGTTGTTGACTTGCCCTACGCCCCCTACGCCCATCCGTTGAAACCCCAGAGTGCACGGAATCCTAACCTGGCATCGCGTGTTCTTGATTTCGTCCACGAGCTAATGCTTGTCGGAGATGTCCCATCCCGGGTCAGTGTAGCTGATCTGGAACTCTGTTCAGGACACAGGACCACTATATGGTCGATGCCGACACAGGCACGCGCTAGAAGTTTTGCTGGAGCACGTGAGAACACTGAGACTGATTAGAGCTGAAGTGATGCTTACGAAGTACTTGCAAGCTGTGGCAGCTTTTCGAGATGCGCTGTGTGGCAAGTGATGGGATGTGCAACTGTTGCCGAACAGTGGCACGCTGTCATCGATACTGCTCCGCATGTTGGGCCAACCTCTCCCTGCCCAGGAATTGCATGTTAATGGTGCATTCTCTGCCTTTCAGCTAGTTCTAGCACCATTTAGCACAAGATGAGACCTGGCTGCTGAGCCGACAAATCGCCTCCAACAGGAAAACCAAAGCCAGAAACATTCTGGGAGAAGTAGATAAGAAAACGGGGCCGGAAGCCCCTCAGAATTGCAAGGCCTTCCACAAACATGAAGATGTTCAGCTGGGGACTTGAATGCTGCAGGTCGTGTGGCAGCGTTCGGAACCATGGAAGAGGCAAGTTGGTGCTGTCTGAGTCCTGCTGTGAGCGGAGACTTGAGTGCGGAGGGAAGACCAGTGCCCAATCTCAGGCCAAATCCGCTTGCGAGATGATGGGCTCCGTGTAGCTTGGCCTAAGACGAATTTCTCACGCGACACCGTAAAGTACATCCGAGCGAGAGGGCAGGCCAGATTCTCACATCCAATCGCGGCTGACAAGATGCTTTGGTTAGGACATGAATCGGAGCCCTTGCCACTCGGCAGACAGCCCACCCTTCAGCCCGGCTCCCTGAGGCTTTGCTTTGGCATCTACGACACCAAGTGTGACGGCGCCACTGAGGAGTCTCCGGTTAAGCTGATCAAGGCGGGTTTCGAAGCTTCCTTTCGGGCGAATCCACCACTAGACTAAAAGCGCCACGAGATGAAGAAGTTTCATGGCAACGGGGCTTCGATGCGCTTCGCTTCACACTAGGTTTGTGGTAGCGCTCGTTCTGGATCGCCTGCTATGTTGTTTCTCTTCCAATCTATCTCTCTCTCACACACGGACTCTCGCTGTCTGAACCGCTCGATCGCGAAATGAATGAATCAACCAGTCTCCGTCCTTGCCTCCCCAGAGTTATCGAGTGTCTTTGTCTTTCTATTTCGTCCAGCTGAGTATCAAATCCACTGCTCTCGGAGGCCCCTGGCTTGGACCTGGAATCCGTCAAGGCCGGCCCACGCTGGGACCCCACAGCTCAGCCCAGCTCCGATTGTGTGGCAAGGAGTCGAACATCGGCAGCTGCGTCCTTCGCATGAAGCTAGGCTGCTCGGACTCGACCCCAGCCACCCAAGCCTCGTTGGCATCAAGCAGGTTCTCTCCGTCCGTACATAGGTTTAACTTCGGGCTGAAGGGAGACTGAAGACGGAAGAGTTTGTTCTACCACAGCTAGTGCAGTGCACCTTGTGAGTCCTGGAGTCCTTGCGGCTTGTCCATGTGCAAGCATCATGCGGCAGGTCCATCAGCAGGTCCGACCAAGATGTAGGACTTAGCTCAGGCTCCGAGACGACCGTGACGACCACCATCGCCCAGTTCTGCAGCTACGAGGTGAACGTCTCCCGCACCGACGTGGACCCCAGAGCCGAGTGCAGGGTTTTCCACTTTTTTCAGGCACGGATCGCCCACCACGGCCTCTGAGCATGTCTTTTAGAGGACCCTTCGGCGGTCTGGAAGACCTACCGCGTGGAGAAGCAGGAGTACGGTGAGGCCCGACGAGTTCACAGGACTCTTTTTGAGCAAGCCTTCTCCATGTCCTCTAGCCCGCAACACAGTACCGCTGAACGCAAAGCGTTGCCGCTCGCACCTACCATCCCAGGTGTTCAGATTCAGCGGCTGCGCGCCCTTGCCGCAATCATGCTCAGAAACTCTTCCACATCAACATGCAGCGGGTTGACACCGGCATGTATGGCGTACTCGGATTGTGCATCCAGTGAAGATGTTAGTGCATTGAAGATGTTAGCATGACCATGCAGTCGGTGGCTGTGCCCCAGCCCCAAGCAAGGCCAATGCTGAACTGGACGAGGCAGCTGAGTGCATCGCCTCCGGCGTCTCCAACGGCGTGCGTGTGCTGAAGAACAGGTCAGCAGAGAGTCACGGGAAGGGTCGGATAATTTCGCGGGTATTCCGCCTTTCACGCTTTTGGCAAGGTTTGGGAGGGATCGAGAGACGAGAGTGTTGAGGCCGCACGAACCGTGCAAGTCTTGCCCACCTGGCTGTGGATGGGTTGTCGTAGGTGTGGCGATGCTCCACAGAAACAAGCAGCCAGTAACTCTGAACTCATCCCCGCAAGGCACGGCCAGGCTGTGGGAACTGGTGTTTGCTGCGCATCTGCCACCAACACGGCCAGCCCGGGAGGGGACTACCGGGTTCTTGAACATCAAATGCTGTTGCAACTGCTGTGTTGGGCAATCGATTTGCTATTACTCTGTTGATTCCAGCCGAGAGTGCATAGAGAGTGTTGGAACCCTTACCAGGTGTTGACCAGCACGCCTATCCAGTGCGACGGACTCTAAGCTGCACGCCTGGGCTCACCATGTGGCAATTTCAATTTGCCTGTGCTTGGAAGAGGATTTGCGAACAACTACACGAAGTTTGAGAAGGTGTATCTCCCGGCCTCTCGGCAGCAAGAATCGGGATCTTAGCGCAGAAGCCCTCAAGCAGCTCAGGCAACGAAACTGATCCGTGGAACGACTTACAGCAACATGGCCTCTGCCAGGGATCCTTACCTGCAGAAGTGCGAAGCGACTCGCACCCGAAGGGTGGTCTGCCTGTTGCACAAACATTCAGGAAGCTTGCCTTCGTATGGGCCACAAGTGCTGGGGTATCTTCGATGACAAGTGCGACACCGTCAATATGATGCTGGTGGATGGTTACATCGGAGTCACGGAGAGCCCCGTGGTGTCAAGCGTTCAGTGGGCGATACCAAGGGAAGGGTCTATTTCAGTGTGTTTTGAGGATTTTGGTTTCATGGTTCGAGGCAGTGATATACCAAAATGTAGCCTCGAACACGGACTCCACGAGCTCCGGCCAGCGAATAGCTTCGGGGGGAAGCCACCTGCCGCCACCCTAAACCTTAAACCCCAAGCCCTAAACCCAATGGTTCTGTGCACAAGGCCTGAAGGCTGTGGGGACTGGCTGCAATTTGGCACTCGCTCTGTAGCTGCCTTGCATGGCTGTGTCCTTGTGATCGCATGCCCGAGCGATAAGGCACTTTCCGCAACTCTTCTCAGTCGTCCTGCATCTTCAAGAAGGAAGCAGTCTGAGCGAACACAGTTGCAGCGAAAAGCGCAACTGTGACAGAGAGGCTGTGCCCAATACCTGCTCATCTGGACCTACAGGCCAGAAAGTAGCGAGTATTTTCTGGTATTTGGCACAGTTCCGGCCAGTGGGTGAAATTAGGCGAGCTGCGAGGTTCCCTCGTCCAGCTCTCGTAGCAGTCGTAACACCTTGTCCAGCTTTTGCCTGGCAGACCAGAGAGCTGCCAGAGCCGTCTCGGCGACTCGGTTCGCAGCCAAAACCTGCTTGCGCCGTGTCCGAAGTGCCACCACACACACACACACTCTGTTTCAGGTTTCTTGCAAATCAGGAGCACAAGACAATGTCATGGCTAGACACAGCGCCAGACCGTCCAAACCTCCTTTCCAATATCCAACGCCGACTCCAATTGAACGGCCCACGGTGGTGGAGGAGACCTTAGCTGTGATGTCGTGATCATGCTGTAGCATAGCTGGCAGACAACAACATCCAGCGCCGGCTGTAAAGCCACAAGCGTCTTCACGTCATGGGTGTCGTGCCGATGCTGCCGAGGCTTTGAGCGACGACACAGCGTGCGAGAAGATGGCTGGGGGCCACGGATGGCAAAGGTCAAGAAGTATGGATTGGGGTTACAGTGCAAATGCTCCGACGTCCAGCGGATTTGCTCTGCACCCGGAGGAGTCCAGACTACAGTACTAGTTCCAAAGGCTTTGTTACACGTTGCTTCACAGCGAGGCCCAGACCGGTGGGTCAGCAAAGAGGCTGCCGGGGTTCCATTTGCAGCCTCGTCCGGAACGCAGCCTCGGATTTGCGAGCATCCAACACGTTTTTTCCGACGTAGACTACATGGCTTCTTTTTGAGAGTGAGGGGATGATCGGAAGAAGCACATAGAGGAATGCCATTGGGTTTCCTGCCTTCAGCCCATGATCCGACCTGCACAAGTGCAGCAAAGTCGCTGTCGTGAGTTTAGGTCCAGCCCCACCTACGACTCCAGCCTGATGGCGATGGCCGTCGGGGTAGCTTCGACGCAGTCGTCGCAGTAGTCACCAGTAGTCCGAGTACGCGCAGCAATGGGTTTGGAGGTACACAGTCAGGTACTACAGGCATCATGATCTGCACCATACGTCTTGTACTTTCTGATTCCGATGGCTTTTCCTAGGGGACTGACGAGGGCTTCGGATTTGCTCTCGAAAGTTTCTAGCACCTATCAATACGTAGAAACCTGCTTGCTTACTCCGCAGCCTTTAGAGCTACACTCGGCAGGTGTAGGGGATGGTGACCGCGGTCTTGTGCTCTAGGTGCCTGCACAGATGTTCATCATGCCAGCATCTATGGAGCAATGAACCTTTAATTCCCAGCAGCGTGAGCTTGTCCTGCCGGCTTGCTGACACTAGGCAGAGTCATCATCCTCTTATTTTCTGGAGTGGAACGAATCCACAGCTCACGAGTGTTGGCGAGCATCATGAGCATCAGGTGCACCCCCCCCAGGTTTTCAGCATCATGAGCATCATCGAGCCTTGTCTCATTGCCGCTGTCTGGTCCGATGAACGGACAGATTCACTGAGAAGTTTGCATGATTGCTTGTGGCCGTTCAGTTCAGTGATTCCTGAACCTGCTGATTGGCCATCGTATCCTGCAAGAGACGGTGAAACATGTTGCCATGCCGGTTTACATGAATCTCCTTGGTCAGTTGCTAGCAGCACTGTTTCCGCCTCCCTGCGGACAAGATTAACAAGATAGCTGTTATACGACTCGTTTTGCCAATGCCACTTCAATATTCGTGGTAGGAGCGCATGCTGCGCGTCTTGGGTACCCAGCGCGACTTAGCGTAGACATGAAGGCCCAGCTGTATCTTTTTGTATGTGTGCCGACTCGGCCTGCAGCTTGCATGCGCATGAAGCCGTTTTGCGAAGCAATGCACTACAACCGTGCCGCTGCATCTGTGTGTGTGTGTGTGTGCGCGTGCGTGCGTGCCGCGCACGCTCGCGCACGTGCGTGGTTTGTGTTCGTGTGTGTGTGTGTGTGCGCATGCGTGCGTGCACGCGGGTTTGTGTGTGGGTGCGCGTATGTTCGAAGTTGTCCAGCTGGCAGGCAAACCCCGACACATTTGCAGCAGGTGTGTTTGCAGATTTTTGCCACTTGTGTTTCGTCTGACACCTCCCTGGCACTTTTCTGAGGCACGTGTATTTCTGCCTCTCAGAGTCAGAGCATGTTTTGGTTTGGGAGAATTTGGAGTGCTACGGCAAAGGAGAGTAGGATGAACCGACAAGCCGACAAGCCTTTTGCCCAGGTTTACTGTGTGTCTCGGAGGGCTCGAGGGGTACTTTCAGATGTGTCATGTTGTGTAGTTCGGAAGGGACATCTGTCGTAAAGCCTGCCGAACTTCGACTTTGGTGAACTGCGAAGACTGGGTAGCTCCATATAAATGCATCCAAGGCGTTGCAAACCAAAGAAGCAGACAAGGACCGGAGCAGGGCTGCGTGAATCGCACGTCGAGCAGCCGTACTGGTTGTGAACATCTATTGACAAGTTGATCACGTTCTTGACTGCCAGGACCGTCTCCTGTTTGCAGAGAGGACTGTGGGACTCTTCCAGGCACTGTCCCCACCCAGGCGAAGCCGCTTCGCTTCTCTACGCGCCAGTCGAGAGTCGTTGGCTGCATGCCGCATGCTGAAACCGAGAGGGTCCTTTGAACCAGGGGCCCGGCGGGAGCACTCGTGCGAGGTGGCTGCAGGCCGCTGGCTCGGAGTTGGGGTAGTCACAGGGCCGTGTTCCGACAGGCGCTAGGATTCTGAGAACGGGGAGCTGCAGTCTACATGCCTTTCAAACCACACTCGGGTGCTTGTCAGGGCCTTTGCAGACCACGCTCGAGCTGCGTGGGATGAGCGCGGACCCAACGTTGGCCTGCGCGCCCGTGAGCAGCTGGCAACAAGTAAGACCCCAGGTATCGGGCTGACGTGCAGCACTTTCAGAACACCGTCTACCGCTGCCGCGCAGGGGCCTTGTGGCTCCAACTGAACCTATGTTGACTTTGTGTTTGTGGTCTCAGGGCGGCAAAAGCGACAAGGAGCGGCTGCGACGGCCCATGGCCGGGCTCACGGAGGGACTATGATGTTCAGCTGGAGAAGTGCCTGAGATGCACGTCCTCGATATTTCCTGCACATGGCACCACCGAAGGCTAGGCTTCTGTGATGTTGCGCAGATTGGGATCATGCACATCAACCAAGCGTACTGAGTCTGCCAACCACGCTGCTGTTTCTGCACGGTGCGGGCCCGGACGACACCAGCACTGGCGAAGGGAATAAGTTCTTGTTCTGTTTGGTGTTCCGGTGTTTGCGATGCGCCAGACACACGTTTTGTAACGTGTCACCAGACTGAAGCATTTGTCATGCCTTGAATCGAAGTAGCTTGCCTTGCTGTCGCAAGTCCACTTATGCGTGGCATTTCCAAGGCTTTACAAGCCACCGGCTAGCCGGCCACGGACGTTCTGATGAGGTTAGCGTCTAATGAGACAAGCCTGCATGTTGTATGGGGTATTGGCATTCTGAGTGTTACATGGCATATCCAAGTCTTGCAAGCTGTAACTCCCAAGCGGGGTTGACTTCCGCCGATGATCGGTTCTGGAAAATGCCTGAATCACTCGCAAAAATGATTTGTTTCAGTGCTGACGAAGCGGCAGCATGACCGGGACAAGCTGGACAATCTCTCATGTTAACGCCGTCGTGGTTTGTGGATCCAGACCGATGGCAACTCCGGGCGGGTAAGACCGCGTTGCTGTGGCTGGTTTCCACGAGACGTAGCTAGATAACCCAATGCCGCGTTCTGAAAACATTCGGGGACGCGAGTAGATGGAGCATGCGACAAAGCTTTTCGCGCCGCTCTCTATGTGGGCTGTCTGTTAAGCAGACACTTGGGGCAAGAAGCCTCTTCGTCGATTTCGGAGTCTTCGAGAGTCGATAAGACATGCGAGCAGCGCCTGCAAACTTTGTCTCTAGGAAGAAGCTTTCAGGTCCAAGCTGTTCTGTTTCAGACCAGCTGTCTGGTCTCGTGCCTTCAGGCCATTGGCTCGACCCTAAACCAGCAAGCTGGCCACGGGTACAGCTTCTACAAAAGCTTCCATCAAGAAACTCATGACTTCCCTGTTCGAGATTGTACTCAGACTTCGTGACGTCGTGGTATGTAAGGCATTCGCAGCACGTTACCACGTCATGTCAACCTGCCGAGACGCGAGAAGAGCAGCAGCAGACAGCCTATGTCTACAGTTCTTTTTGCGTGTGTCTCGCTGTGCCATGTCGTCGGTGGCTCAAGCCAGAAGTTGTCGATATGTTCCCAGCCAAGAATGCCAAGGGAGCATCCAATCACCGAGGTTTCTACCTGAGTTGAGGGAAGACCAGCGAAAGGCGGGCGCCGAAGCCTTCATGTATTCTGAAAGGAACTAATGCTTTGTGATGCTGGCGTGGGGGTTGGAGGCCGTGCTTGAGTGATCATGATTTCATCGCTTGTTGTCCCGGGCTTGCCATCTCTAGGAGCCTCTAGAAGCTTGATGTTTGCATGTCGCCTTCGTGCTTATTGTCTCCGGGATGACTCCTTGGCGCTCGCATCCCGAATCCTGTACGCTGCGGCTAGCACTCAGGCGCAGACTCCTACTCGTAATCTATGCAATTCCAGAAGTGAAGTCTGAACCATCCCTCAACTGCGAACCCGCAGGGTTCCCATGCCGTAACGTCCACCCCTCGAGCCGCAACTCACAGACAGAGGCCGCTGGTGCGGTGGGGACCTCGGCGGGTTCTTGGCCTCGCTTGAGAGCAGGCCCAGATCTGCTAGGTCTGCTCTGGTTACTTGGTTAGACCAGTTAGACCCCGTCCAAAACCTCTATCTCAGTCTGATCCTGGTCTCCTCGAAGATCGGAAGTCCCCAAGGCCCTGGGCGTCGCCACCTTGGCAGGTGTCGGGGGCCTCCTCTGGCGATGGAGGCTCGATGCGCAGAGTCGTGGGTTTGGAGAGATGAGAAGTCTCACCCGGCAGCGCCACTCCTCGAGGCAGAGGTCAGTTTTCGGGGGGAGTGCTGGTTGTTCGCTTATCGAGGAGCCAGCGCGCGAGGACACTAAGCCGGCCCTTTGTGCTGAAGGACCGGATATGCAGAGATTTGCAGAGCAGAGTATTTTTAGACGAAGCAGCAGTTTAGTTAACGTCTTTGAGGGCTTCGTGTCCCGACATGTCGATGTGGATGTCACGTCCATCGCAGTACTCGTAGCCTGACTTCAGGACCTCGCAGGTGGCGAGACGGTGGAGGCTGAGCTGCAGTGCCCGATTTTAAACATGTTGGGTTGGGTCTCGTTTCCGATCTTTGATTCCCATGCTGGTTTCGCCCCTGCCAGGGACTGGCATGGCGCTACATTGCTACATGTTGCGCTTCTGTCCTTCTAGCCGCCGGCATTGTCTGCTGTCTTCCACATCGGTGCATAGACAGAAGTGTACACCATGAAGGATACTGTACAGCTGCCTGGTCCCAGGCTTCGTTTGAGGACGGCTGTTAAGACTGTCCAGGATCCCCTGGCCGAGCTCACGCGAGTGGTCACCTGGCTACAGGCCCGCAGTGGTTGCACATTGTGGTTTTGTCACTGTGAAGGATGCCAGATGTCGGGCCTGCCATTGCCTGCCAGGATGACATCATTCGGCCCTTGGATGCTCGGCTACCAGGCCGGGCTTCCCCGTCCCACTCAAGAGGCCATGCCGGGCCCTTCGATGTGCCGCATGAGCGCAGGCAAGCCCTTCGAGCATGACCTGCTGGCATTCCCATTCACACCGATGGTGCTGGTGGTGTGGCCCTGAACGTTCTGCGACGGCGACATCCAAGCAGATTTGTGACTGTCAGGTGGGGAACCATTCGGCTGGCAAGCGGGGAATCCAAGGTTCAGAGCCTGCATGCAACCGGCTTCGTCGAGGATACAGCGAGAGCCGAAGGGCCAGCTTTGCTTTCCATCTCACATTCTCCTCTCTGATTGCCGCGATCGCAGCCGGAAGCTGTGCTGTCATTGATCCTCCAAAACACAGCTTAGCTTTAGCTAACCTTGGGTGGGTTCGTGGCATGACTTCGCCGGATTGCTTCCCAAGGACCTAAGCCTGATCTTTTTGTAGCCGACTTGGATTTGTCCCCACCAAACGCAGCCTGACGCTGGCCTGACCTTACCTCACCTGCTTCACCCCATACCATCCCACTTCCACAAACGACTTCCCTCGACTAGATCCCAAGTCCTGCCTTCTCTAATCCGAAATGGTCGCACTTGCTCGGGGCTTCCCCGCCTGTCGAACAAAAAATGGAGACAACCAACAGACAACACAGCACGAAGAGAAAGGACGTCGGCACCAACAGGCCACAGGGACTCGTGTTACTGTGCTCATGGAGGCAGTAAATCCTAAGGGCACACTCACCGCATCCGGCAGCATCGTTCACAAAAGGCACTGCGAATGCAGCACTAAGTTGATTAATGCTCCCGACGTCGAGGTTACTTGTGGCATCCGTCCTACCTGTGGAAGTTTGGGGAATCTATCGGGCAGTCTCAAGTCTACTCGATTCTCTTTTACCCGAGCCGTCCAAAGGCAGCGCAATCGACAGAACGAAATCTGGTGTTTGTTTGTTGGGCGGTTGCGGGCCCAGTGGCATGGGAGCATGTCGAAAGCACGGATTCGATGAGCTCTCACACAACAGAGCTGTGATGTCGTGGTCGCTTCTTTCAGACATCGCTTCCCTCCTTACAGCGACTTCTGAGTCAAGGTGGCAAGGATTGGCGAGGTTGCATTGATGGATCGTTGAAGCGGTTATGCTGCTGTATGTGCTTAGCAGTCCAAAGTTTCCAGGTCAACCTTCATCAACCGACTCCTTGGTACGAGCGTGCAGGACGACCTCGATTGAAAAGTGATGACGCAACTGTGCAACCAACCAGGAGACAGGTGTCGCACCGACAGATGACGGCTTTACCGTTCTGAACTCGGAGCGTCGAAGCTTGAGACGGCCACAGTCATTTGCCGGATCTCCAACAATAGAGTGTGTCGCAGAGTGACGCAATGACTGTGCACAATTTGGCCACTTGGCTCTTCAGCATGCAGCTCCGATGCGGGGAGTTTGGGTGGCAGCCCCGACCTCCGCAATGAGGCACGGATGAAGCGATTTTGAGCCAGAGCATGCAGCATCATGGAGCGAAGATTTGTGAGATGTTGGGTCGGTAGGGAGAGTCATGGAGGTGGCAGATGCCGTGGTGGCGGTGGTGGTGGTGGTGGTGGTGGTGGGTGGCAGTGGCCGTCGTCTTCCTCACCTGGTCGTGGTTATCGTCGTAGTGGTGATGGTGGTGGTTGTCCTGGTGGTGATGATCGTCTTGCTGTGGCGTTAGATTTAGTGGTGGTGGTGGTAGTAGTAGTAGTAGTAGCAGTAGTAGTAGTAGGAGGAGGAGGAGGAGGAGAGGAGCAGCAGCAGCAGCAGCAGCAGCAGCAGCAGCAGTAGTAGTAAGTGGTTACTAGTTGCAGTAAATAGGAGTGAGTAGTAGCACATAGCAGCAAGTAGTAGCACTGGAGTAAGTAGTAGCAAGTAACTAGTAGTAGGTGGTATTAAGTTCCAGGAGGAAGTCAGTCGAAGGTACAAGGGAGGAGGCAGGATGTAGGAGGTTGGACGCGGTAGGTGGAGGTGGCTGCATAGCGGATCTGGTGCGAGGTTATGGGCCGGAGCAGCAGGAGCAGGGACGGGGAGCAGGAACAGGAGCCGGAGCAGTAGCAGTAGCGGTCGCTGTTAGCCGTAGCCGCAGCAGTAGCAGTAGCAACAGCAGTGGCAGCAGCACGGGCAGCATCGAAGTTTTCGTAGTGAAACCAGCGGTGGTTGTAGTTGCAGTGGTCGCAGTCAGCCAGCAGCCGCATCGGGAGCGGGAATGGCAGCGGTAGTAAATCCAAGTCTCAGCAATAGCATGGATAATGCCACGCAGGTAGACGGGGTCCTGCGGGGCCGAGCGTGAATTCGGAAACCACGAAAGGAGATGGATGGCTTCTTCCGGCGGAAGGTCCACATTCAAGTCATAAACTGTGCCTCGTCTGTTGGTACTCGGCCCTGAAATGCCCTTATGCCCCTCCATCCCGGAACCTTGCTGCTTCTTTGTGACTTCGGCGGGACAAATATCGATCACACATTGCCAATCAACTGCATCCTCAAGCACCCGGACTGCCACTGAAGGCTCGCAGTGGTCGTCACTGATATTTGCCGGGGAGTTTTTCAACTCGGGCGGCTGGGTGCCTTGGTATCTCATTGGGCAAAACCAACGAAGTAGGAGATGTGAATGAGTCATCCCTTCATGCTAAAAGTCTCAGATAGCATGGGTCTTCATGTTCCGCTCAGTACGAGTTCATCTGTCGTCAGGCACACTCCAGTGAAGAAAAGCATGTCAGCGTATTTGCAGCAGTACGCTTTCTTGTGGCAGGTGGGTCCGCGCGTGGAGGAGGTTTGCGAGGACGGATTGTCTCAATTCGGACAGGGCAAGCCGTTCGTGCAATAACTTTAGCCCCTGTGTCGCTGCATGCCTTCTCCCGGCCCAGTACGTCAGCATCTCCAAAGGATGCATGCATTGAGCTGGAAAGCAATAGCTGGACATCTGGCCTTTCTGGCTATGCAACTCGGTTGACAAAGTGAGAGCTAGGATCGCTCTGGCTGCTAAGTGCATGTGGGTCAACATGCGGCACGCGGCTTCAAGGTCACCTTTCGCAACAGTGATCACTCACAGTTTTTCTGCGTCGTTGCCACGTGCCTGCAGACAATGGTAGCAACTCAAGATTGCATGGAGCCAATGCCTGCAACTCCGCATTCCTTCCAGGTGTCGTTTCCCTTGTTGGGTTCATGCTGCTTTACGGCTCGCTTCGGTGCAGACCACGGGCGGCATGGTGGCAACAGGAGCACGAGAGAGCGCGCGGGTTCCTACCCACAACCTTCAGGTTGTGAGACCCCGCTGGTTTGCTGGAGAACCTCGGCAGATTCAGCCAATTCTAGCATCCGGGTCAGCAAAAGCCCGAGGCTTGCCATGCATGCCGCGAAAGTTCTCCAGCTTCGCCAGGAACGCACCGCCGCTTCTACCTGCAGACCACGGCCTCACCCGTGCCGAGGGGTGTAGCTTGGCAGCAGACGTGGCTTTGGACTAGCTCGGGGCCGGGGAGACAATCATGCGAGATCATGCAAGCACAGTGCGAGGCACCTGGGAAGCACTTGATGTGGGAGTCCAGGCAAGCTATCCTGCGAGCCAGTGAGCGGCTATATGCGGTGCATGTTCTTTTGTTGCAGGATATGGCGGTGATACGCTGCGTCCTGCTTCCGAACAAAATGAAGCGTAGCTTCGGTCGCAGAGGGCATGGTTCCGACAGTGTCGGGTCCACCTCGTGCATTTCGGATTCGAATTTTCGGCTCGCACTTCTCGCATAGGGTTTACAGTTGGGCTTGCGGTTTCCCGGCCTTGGATGGCGCACGCCCGACCGAACCGGCGGACACCTTTCGGACCCGAAACGGTGGGCCTGAAACGTTCGTTGGCCTGGAGGGCAGGGCAGCCTCCAGAGCAGTCCCACATAGTCCCACAGCCCTGAAATCCCAGGTCTATCCGAAGATTTCTCCTCAGCATTGAAGAATGCCGCGTGGTGCCTTGGCATCTTCACACCGACCCAACTCGCCTCACAAAAACTAAATTCTTGTTAAACTGTGGCTCAGAGGGGAGCCGTCGTGACTGGCAATTTTACGCTTGTTTCTACAAAGGGTGCTTCGTCCAACCAACATGTTCCGATTTCGGACGTGCCATCTTGTTGGCGCACGCAAGTTTGGCAGCGGTCAAAGCAAGGTGTGCCACATCCAGCGAGGACGGGACTGCTGCCACTCGCCTTGGCAGGAGCACCGCATAACAGTGCTTAGGCAGCTCTAGGTCTTGAGGCTACGTTTTTCTGAGGTTCTCAGGCGAGTACTGGCAGGTTGCAAAAAATTCGACAGGCAGCTTCTTCTCAGTTTCAGGTATGGCAGTGGAGGCGGCAGCTGCCGCGGTAGCAAAGTTGCAGCTGCTACAAGGTGGTGCTAGTGGTGGTGTTGGTGGTGGTGGTGGTGGTGGTGCTGGTGCTGGTCCTGCGCAGGTGCAGGCTTTATGCAGCTGGTTTTCCATCTTTTGCTGCAGAAGCTGGCGGCGGCTGTGGCTGTGGTGTTGGTTGTCTTTCTGAGGCTTTGGTTGTGCGATGAGGCCGTTTTGTGGCCCATGTTTGAGTGGTGGTGGTGCTGCTAGTGAGTGTGGTTGTGATGGTTCTAGATCTCTTCACCCATGCAGCCGTGCAGCGCTTTCCCGTCGAAGCAGCGTTCTGATGCTGTGGAGTGCGAAGGAGAAGTGGTCGCATCACGGAGCGGCGTCTCGAGGTCGAAATCGAGAACCAGCCGGGTCCCCAGCGTCAACATCTCGGAAAGTTGGAGCTTCTTGTCGCAAGGATTGGGCCCCCATGTTGCCAGCTCCAAAAAAGGGGTGTGATGCAGGTCGTCAGAGTCTTTCCTCTTCGACAACGATTGGTTCAAGCATGGAAGCTGGGTGGATGGTGCGGTGGACTGCCTGCCGCCAGGAACCACAACGACCCTGAAGCTGTGCTGCTTGGATCTTCTGGCCTAAAGCGACCAAGCGTTGTGTGGTCTTCGTGTGAGTCCTCTGAGGCAACTCCGACTTCACCTCCGGGGTCAGTGGCCTTTTCTGGTACGTGAACGAGGCATCTCTTCACACCGGAGTAAGGCATGTTACAACGTGATCCAGTTTCGCCGATATTGGAGAGTTGTGGACGGGAAACCGAAGGCATTCCAAAACTTTAGTGGCCCTTCTTGCCCTCTGCAATCTCTTTATCGCTCTCTACTTCCGCCTCGCCCGCTCCCTCGTTCTTGCTGGTTTTGTCCTCTCCCTCTCCCTCTCAACTCCCTGCCCCTGCCTCTGCCTTTGCACCTGCCGCTGCTGCTGCCTCTGCCGCCTTTGTCACTCTCTCTGACCCTCTGTCCGTCCATCTGTCTGACTGGTCCCATCCTTCGGGCATTGACATCCGCACTCGCTCTTCTCACCACACACACTACTGTGAACACCATGGCCTGCTGGGACGTGTAGAACAAGGCGTGGTGCTTGCCTCGAGGCTCGCTTCGACGTGTACCTCAGCCTGGTGTTCTCCCATCCTTTAGCCAGTGAGGCGGCCAGTGAAGCAGAGAGGCGAGCCTCACGGTTCCAAGAACGGCCAAGAGTGCAGGCAGCCTTCGATGCCTTTCTGGGAGCTCCACCTGCCGAGCTCCACAGCGAATGGTGCCAGGACACCAGTTGTGCTTCAAAAGAAGTTGTGGCCTCATCTGTTATTTCGAGGCACCGCCAGTGAGCAGCGAAAGCAACAGGCCTGGAGGAGACATGACTGAGCAAGCGTTGATGCGGCTGCGGGTGCCACACCGGGGCTCTTTCGCGAACTGCGGAGACGACACAAAGCGCGACACAGCGCTGTCCGCTCCAGGCACGGCTGCCAGTGGCGGGTTCTCGAGCGTGGCCCGGTCCTCCGCCTGAAGGCCGATCCGAGCGTACACATCGCAGATACTCATACGGGGCTGGGACCAAACGCCCCTGACAGTCTGACAGGTCACGCTGCCGGAATCGCTGCCGCGGGCCGCCAGTGGTTTGCCCATGCCCCTTGGTCGTTTGTGATCAACTTCGCGTTCGAAGGGACCATCTAACTCGGTTACACACGGCACATCAGATTCTGCGAGGCATAATCTCACTCTCGGTTCTCTGCCATGTTCTTCGCCTAGGCCGGAGGCCGAGCAGAGGGTGCTGGTGGTGCGTGGTGAGGCGTGGCTCCTGAGTGCATCTCAAAAACCTCCCGAGCGCACGCGTCCTGCAGGCCCAGGCACAGGCCCAGCAAGGGCGCGAGGAGTCAGAGGTGACGGCTCCCAGCTCCTCAGCGGCCTTTGATTCTTTGATGCCGGGAGCGCATACGATCGGTGAATTAGATTGCATCTGTTGGAGGCTTCATGGATGTGACTCGACCGAGAGACTTCATCGACGGCGTGGGGAGTGGCTTCTTGGCCGAGCCACGGATTTGACCGGACGGCCAATAGTTGTGCTTGCACATGCTCGTACTGGTGCACGTCTCCATATTATGTTTCCTCGAAGAGGCAGGAGGCGGCAGACGTGCTGTTCGTTGCCCATTCTTGCTCTGATTTCTGCTGAGGCCTCACGGCCGCCTCTGTCGGCTTCGCGGCAGGCAGCGCGGCGTTGGTGGCCGCGCCCGCCGTCGGCCTCTCCGAGGCGCCATGTGTCAAGCAGTTTGGAGTCTCAAGAGCTCTGATGTCTCGCACGCGTCTTCTGAGGGCGGCGTGCCCGGCTTCGCCGCTCCGGCCGCAAGAAAGACAGGAACACACACAGCTTTGCAAGCGGTCGTGTCGTTGTGTCGTTGCCTCATGTCGGCCTGAGGTGCTGGGCCTGGCTCAGGGCGGCGCCGCTGCTTTGGGTTTGGCGGCCTGCGGCACGGCTGCCTGCGCTGCCCAGGCCCTCATGCTCTCCACGCTCTCGACTGCAAGTCCGTAAAAGCTTTGCCTGCCCGGAGGTGGCGCGGGGCATGCTGAACACACCGGAGGTGGAACCGCAGCCATAGTTCTGGGTTCTGGGGCACTGATCCTGTGACCCCAGGAGTTTTGGTGCGCCCTTTGCAGGCCCTCATGCAGCAAGATGGGACGAGATGGGACAGCACCGCGGTTGCACGAGTCAGTGACATCTTAGTTGTGTCCTGGCCCGAGAGTTGCCTCTGCTGAGCTGGTGTGACAGCCAGGTACTCGCGGCAAGTGGGTGGACGACTTCGTTAACCTTCGAGAGGAAGAGGCGCAGGCGGGTCCACACCCCGCACACCTCGATGCGCACACCGCGCGCATCCGCGTGCACCGCACACCGCGTAAGGTGCGCATGGCACCGCGCGACTCCGCGATGTCCAAAGGCCGACAAGGCTCCGGAGGACTGCGAATCAGTGGCTTGGCTGGGACGCGGGACACGGACGTGGGCCATTGCTTCGGTCCGACGTCTGACACGGACGTGAAACCAAGGAGGAGGACTCGCCATTGTTCGGCAGTGCCTACAAGAAGGAGGTTGCAGACTCTCAGACGAACTCTATAAGGGTCCAGTATCGGCTTTCACACGTATCGTCTCTGGTACTCAGGGGCCTTCCACGCCAGCTTTGAGGCTCGGTGTCTCGATCGACGTCTGGCTGTTCAGGACTCGTCCTACTACGACATCATCGGTGTGAAGCCTGGATCTCTACCTGCCGACATTAAGAAGGCCTACTACAAGGCTGCATTGCAGGTGCATCCAGAGACTTGCCAGTACAAGAAGGGCAGTTTTTCTGCAGAAGCCGTAATGATGAATTAGACGCCTGGGCACACATACAGATTGAATATAGTGGTTCATATAGCGTTCATTATATATGACTCATATGACCATATATGATCATATATGTACATGAGAGTTGTTCTAAAATCCGCCTCTTGACCGTAGGCTAACAGTGCACTTTAATCTTTTGATGCAGGTTTAGGACCCACCAAAAACCCGCACGGCGCAAGCGCACGCAAGGGCGAGCGCAAAGGCGATAGGGAGTGTAAGAAGGTTTATCAAGATTATCAAGGCTTCAAGCTGGGAATGTGTTTAAAACCGTATTCACGCAAGAACACGCAAGGGCGAAGTGCAAGGCGATTTCCGAGTTACGGGCAGCAACCATAACAAGAAAACAACCCACACATGCGGATAGTTCAGTGGCGGTTGCATGCTGGTCAAGCTTAGTGACAGACATTCTGAGTCATTCTTTTTTCATTTTCAGAACTACACGCAACATGATAGTCTAGGTTGAGACAAGACGCATCTCCTCTGATAGACACACTTTCTGTAGATTTTACCCTGCCTCCTACGGTACTTTTGTTGCCATTAGCATTGTGATTACGCGACTCATGTGGGCTCAAGTCCCCTACGACAAAGAGGAGTCACAGGGTTGACTTAACAGAGTATCGCTGCTGGCAGCTGTGATGCTTGACACTTCACGTTCCACATCTCCACTGGCTTCGCCATCACCTGTTGTGCTGAGAGAGAGAGCGAGAGACCTGAACGTGATACTAGCAGCCTGGCAGCTGCATCCGAGGACAAGAACCCCGGCGACGAGGAAGCGCATGTGAAGTTCCAGCAACTTTCGGCAGCGTACCGTGTGCTCAGTGACCCTCAGCCACGCGGCAAAGGATTGACACATGGGATGGGGCTGAAGATCACTGTCCAAGACGTCCTTTCGAGTACAGAAGTTTTCAGCAGTTCCGAGGTTGCGCGAGCGATACGATCAAATAGGTGAGGAGGCGACCAAGGAGGCTTGGAAGACACTTCATGCAATGGCCGTCCAGAGCTTCTGTCAGAGGCAGAGCTGCCTTCAATTGATCCTATCCTCTTCTTCGGCATTCTCTTCGGCTCGGAACATTGTGCCTGGCTGACCATCGTGGCAGACTGAACGTGACAGACCCCGATTTTCATGCGTACACACGGCCAAGGCGAAAAGTACATTGGCAAGTTGTACTTAGCCATGCAGACGAACCAGAGACCTGGGCCTGTCTTGTGAGGTGCATCTCTTTGCGTTGGGCCCACACACCTTCCCATGCCAGGCTGGCCAAAGAGCTCCAGCGTCAAAGCAAAGGCGGAGAGGACATCCTGAAAACCAGGCCTGTAGTATCATGCCCTCATCTGAAACAAATCCGTCTCGGACCAGGGGAGAAAGACAGATGCAACTGCGCCAGCACCTGCGCGAGGCCAGTAGTTTCCTGTTTCCAGGTTCGAAAAAACCATCCAGAAATCGAACCACTTGGCGGCAGGTGCGCTGCGCGCGGCATCTCCGACATCTTGTAGATGTGTGGCACTCTTAGTCACGATGGCATTTATGCAGAGCTGCCAGCTTGGGGCAATCTGCAAGCCTTCTGAGATGGGCTGTCCAACGCGATGGCCGCAATTTTGTCCGACAAAGTTCGGAGGAGGTGTCGCGGCCCTTGAATGATAGACTTGAGGTTGGCG